CTTTCTTTTTTTTTTTTTTTTCTTTTTTCCACCTGCCGATTCTACATGTATTGTTGTGGTTTTATTCATTGTATGAAAATTCCTGTGATTTTTTTTAAATGTGCAGTACACATCAGCCTCACTGAGCTAATAAAGGGAAACGAATGTTTCAAATCTCCTTCTGCTTTTCTTATTTATTGTAACCAAACTCCTGGCATGTTTCTCAGATCGGTACCCATTACTCGCTTATTATTATTCTATTTCCTCTCTGGATCTCCCTCCCTTTCTCCCCGCTTTTCCATATTCATGGATGGATTTCAGCTGTAAGGTAACGTAGACCTTCCGTGTTTTACCTTCTCTTCTTTCAAATGGCAGAGGCAGAAGTGCTTTCTATCATGAGCAGTGACGTGAGACTTTATGAAATGGATTGCCTCTGTTTTTGTACAGAAATTGTGTCTTCCTGAGTACAAGCCATTGCCCCTAGTGAGAAACCTGCTGAATATTCAGCTTAGGAAGCAATTCCGTGGACGGACTGAACACGTTTCGAAGACTTGTTAACAGGACGCAGCCCCCATCATATGTAAGTCATCAGGTTAAATATGGGACGAGCCGATAGCCGCTGACACAGCTTGCCGTCAGGATGTCTGTCCGCTGTGCCTCGCAGGTGACTGGTGGTCCTGATGACAGAGATGACAGAGGGCACACTTATTAGGGCTCTGTCCTCTCCTGATTTCAGATGGTCGTCCCCGGTCCCAGCCACCTGCATTGCAAGACCCACCCTAAACATTGGGGCACTGGGGGGAAGGTGGCTAAATATATCCCAGCCCTCGCCCCCCTCCGTCTCCTAGAGCAAAAAAGTGTGTGTAATTCTTGGAAACAGTACATTGGAACCTGCCGAATAACACAAGAAGCGCTGCCCATTATTTCTATTTTATGCCACTCTAAGATTTGCCAGTCACGTTAGCAAAATAGAAAATAAAAATTGCCATTATCTAACCCAAATACCATCCTCATCGACAACCGTGGGCATGAAGCACTCCTGGAGATTCGGTAGATCACCCTCAGATTCTGACCCGTCTCGGTTGATGCTTAAATTGTATACATTTTCAATCTTCTGGCTGGACCCAGCAAGGACATTAGAATAATGCAAGTATTTCTCTTAAAGGGTTTAAAGGTTAACTTTTTACCCTTCAAAACCT